CAGAGACAGCAGATGCGCGTAGCACATGCCCGATCGATAGCTCGTAGATCGATTTGCGATTCGTGGCAATTAACAAGTCGTGAGATAGCTTCCTCGGACACGAAACGAACGAATCAGTGACTCGTTCCTGCGAACATCAGTCTGGTAAGGGCGCGTGCACGAACTTACAAAAATATCGACGATTCGTCCGAAGCGAAAGAACTTTGCTCTGGAGCGTGTGTTGCTCGCGAGCTGGTTTCGTCGGCTAGATTTTCGAGGAAAAGATAGCTAGAAACAAACAATACGGGACAAGCTTCACAGGACACTGCGATCCTGCTTCTATCACCATCAGCTGTTCGATAAAGCGAAATTTTTGCAAGAGAAACAATTGCGTGGAACCTCTGTTGAACATTCTCGAGCGCTGAGTCACAGTCTGATCGATATTTCTTTTGCATATTTTTTTGACAATTTTCGAAAATATGTTTACTAGATCAAGAACTAGGTTAACTCTAATTTGCATCCGTAAGCGGAATATCCGTAAGCAGATGGCGATCGTCACCTATTACTATTCCGCGATCGGCGATCTTCATTTATATGTCAGTCGAACGCCGCTGATGTCTCAACGTAGTAGCATAAGTAGAGTCGTGATTCGATGTTATTGGATTGAGTAAAAAGTCGTGACGAAATGGGTTAAGGTGGTTTTTTAATATTATCGAAGACACTTTCAACGTGCGTTCTAGAAACGTCTGAAACGGTCAGGCTAACGATATATTGGTGAAGAAGTATCGCTATCAGTATTATAATTAGTATATATTGTCTTCGAGTGATGTCCATCTTTCAATCGTGTACCTTTTGTTTTTTCACTCTCTTTTTCTAAGTTTTAAACTCTCTTGTTTTTCTGCTCGCTTGTTCTAAGTGATATAAGATGGCAGACGCACGAGTTTCTCTTTACAATAAATTCTGTGTTTCTAAAATCACAACGCATAATTTTAAAAATCCAAAACCACAATAAGACGAGTTAGTCAATTAAGAAACCGACTCGTCGTCGTTGAATAAAATAGTCTCCATGATCAAGTGAAATATATCATATCGCGATTCGACAAGATACTACTGCTACCAAGTTAAATTTTCACTTTTGTACACCCAACGAGTCAAACTCGATTTGTACGAATAACACATAAAATCGAGTGCCGATACAAAGAGTCTTCCTTTCTTCTCTTCGAACAAAAATACGAAACTCGCGATTAATCCGGCGAACATCGACCAGTTCATTTGCCGATCACACGTTCGAAACTAGCACGTGTACCTATGTACGTGCACCTGGAGTTAATTAATTAACTAACTCCAGGTAATAAACGCAACGGTACGCAAATATTTTTTCGCGCTGTAAAATCCCCTGGGCGTTCATTTGGGCAACCGCGATATTATCGATGCCAAGGTTTTTCCATTTAATTAACAGGAACGTAGTTAGTGTAATTCTCAAGTGAAAGAAGTGATAATTTTTATAGCTCCGCGGTTATGGTGTTTACAGTAAACTATTGTTAAACATTTGTTATCCACAAGTGATTACAACTAAATAAAGATAAAATTCAAGACACTTCCTCTAATACTAGCACGTCACTGATCGCACCTCTCCTCAACATCTTCTTTTGTTTTTCCACTCATTCTCACACAAAACAAACAATCCACACTATCGGTATTTCAGGGTCCCCCAATTGCACCAACAAGAAGATGGGTCGGCATTAGTGTCTACGAGGAATTGTCACCGCGATCTAGACTCGCGAACGTAGCAGATACCGCGAGGGAATCACAGCAGAATTAATCGAGTCATAATTCGTAAGAGGGGGTTGCTCGCGCGTGTATCGTCGTCTAGCCGCGGACAATGCAGCTGCATTCTGGGGTCCGCAGATATGCATAGCTGGACGTAGCCAGCCAGCCAGGCCTCTCATCGATATGTAAGCGTGTGCGCGTACGTGCAGAAATGCATACGGCACGTCGCCTCGTCGTCGTGCGTGCACAAACGTACCCGCGTGTGCGTCCATGTTCTAGCCAGCCGCGCCTCCTCGATCACGGATATTTACGAGCAAACGGTCACACTCGACCTAATCCACGGTTCGAGTATGACGGGCAGCCCCGTCCGGTTTACGCACGCCGCGATATATATTTTCTCGCGAATTCGCCCCCTGCGACACGCCTCTCTCTCTCTCTCCCCCCCTGACGCGATACCACAATGATGCGTCGGCACCATTTATCGTCAATTCTCAGCCCATTACTCCCTAGCCACCTCGTCGTCATTCGATTTGCCAAATCGCTGTTTCTCTGTCTCCTGAAATTTCCACCCCCGCCACTCTCTACCCTTTCCAAAGAAACCGGCGGGATTTTCGATCGACCTGTTATTTGTTTAGAGGGATACTTCTAGAGGGAGACAGACAGGTTCTGTAGCGACCTCTACTTTGAAGTATTTAGATCAACGATATCTATGTTCATTGAATCGTCCCGTCGAGATGTGTATTTAATATAAACAATAGAATATTTGAAAATTGCTAAAAAGTAATTTTATTATCACCGTGGAAATGTTTACAGAAACTTATATATATTGTAACCATAGTAGAAATTCTTCAATCGTTATTTAACTTTCATTATTTAATCTTCATTAAATTATTAGTAATTGTATATTTTGTTATATTGATAATATTTTTATATAAACAACTGAAATTAATTACGGAGTTATCATTTATTTGTAGTATTGTGATATGTAGTATTTAAATTATCATCATAATTACTACAGTTCTGATACTAATCGCGTCATCTGTGATTGATAAGTAGAGCTATGTACATATATTGATTAAGGTCGAACGCTCCTCGCGAGCTTCTTTTGTTATGCCGATTCCGGAACGAACGTTGTAAGAACATGGTGCAATATACAGTTATCGTCCAAACTATACCGTTTCTTTTACCTAAAATTCATCTCGAACGAAGGACACGCAAAGACACTCGAGAGCGAAGAAATCTTACACGTGGATGCGAGACGATTGTCTGCACTACGCGACCATAAGCTCCGTTTCTTCGTTGCGGCGATACACGCGCTTTCAATTACTGTTTTCAGACCGGCGTACCGAAGGATTCTTGAATTCTCGCTGCCTCGATTTACCGCATTGTCCGTGAATTCTCCGCCTGCTCGCGAACAATGGGGGAAAGAAGGCGTTAAATGTAATTTTCAACCGGAGAGGCGCGAAATTACGACTGACGAAAATGAGAAATCAGCTACCAGTAATGGCTCTGAGCAGAGTCCTTTGAAACGGACCGATAAAAGAACACGAGGGCGTTTTATCGGACGTCTGGCAACGACGGCTCAGACAGTTAATTGAGCTCGCGAATGCACGCGAAACCTGCGCTCCCTCGTTGCTTATATACCGTCAACGTCCTGAAAAATCTCTTATTAATCTGTCCCATTAACGCCTGCCGCCTCGAATGCTGCCTTAATGCACCGTGAAATCCGCGATTCGTTACTGGCTTGCTAAAATTTCAACGGACCCCGCGGACAGAGAGAGAGAGAGAGAAAGACGAAACCGTGCACGAGGTCACGAGTCATCTCGCGCGAGGGAGCACTGTGTCAAAAGGTTGAGGATTTCGTCCGATTCGCGCCGGGTGAAAACGATTTACAACGTCGGGCCAGCGCTTCGTTCGCTGAATAGAGTCGAGGGAAAATTAATTTGCAGCGTCTTTGAGAGCAGGTAGCCGACTAGAGAAGGTGGAGAAAGAAAAGAAGCAGCACGAAGCGGCCGAAAGTCCTCGTCAAGGTTCCTGAGCCTCGCGCGTTCCCTCCGAGAGACGTACTAGCACGCGTGCTACAATTTATTGCATCTTTCTCGCGCGTTAAAGCGAGTACGCTGAACCGCATACCTAATGCACGGTTCCCAGCCCGGTTGAATCATAAATCCTACCCTTCCACCTTCGTCTATGCGCCACCAGTTTCTTACTCGGCGGTGTCTCGTGTCTCTCGTGATCTCGCGCATCTTGAAGAGTAACCACGAGCAACGACTTTCACGGACGCGTGCTTCACGTTATTCTCAGTTAGTCTCGCTTCTTTTCGTCACGCGACGCCGACGTGATTGTGTATTCCCTTCGATGAATTATTTTTTCAGCGACGAGTTAACGCAAGCTGACAGCGTTCGTGGAGCGAGCGTTTCGCGTAATCAGAGAAACAGAGAGAGAGAGAGAGAGAGAGAGAGAGAGAAAGAGAGGGCGAGTAGCTTCCATTAGGTGGCAGTTGGCCAACTGTGACGCGGTCTGTTTACACCAGTTGGTGAAAATCGCTGCGGGGCGAGATTCGTGAAGTTCGAAATCGACGTTGCAACGGCGAGATTACATCGGTCAGGCAGTCGGCGTAAATGGAAAACTGTAGCGAAACGAAACAGCACCGGGGGCACGAGAAACGAGCGAAAGAGGCTTTGCCCCCGCCCGGTAAATGACCGTTCCGTGTACACACGCGGATCGAGATAAAGAGCAAATCGAACGTATCTCGGTTAATACCGACTTGTAATTATTGGAAAGAACCGCTGACTCGGCGCGCGGGACACAACGGTGTACAATTCGATGCGAAACGATAAATGTAATTATTGGCTTGCTGTCAACCGTATCTTTCCAACCGGAGCTTATCTCGGATCGAATTGAAACGACCCGGTTCACGCTAGCCGAAGCGATCGCGATAGTCGCGACAAAACTTTCCCTCCGTTCGTGCCCGTGAAACATCGTTGATTCGCGAAAATCCACGACCTTCCGCGACTGGAACCGATTAAGATCCCGAGATCGATACAGAGTCAATCGCGTAACGTGTAAGTATCGCATATAAACGCCAGCCAGGAATAAAATTCGTTTTTTTTTTTTTACCGTGTCTCGCGTCTCAAGGTGTAATTTACTACTGTCGCGTTGAAAACGCACCTTGATCGCGATAAGAAAAAAAATGGTCCAAGGTGCGAAACAATCGAACCAAGAAAGAAACTGATAAATAAATCACTCACCGCTTTCGCCGATTCGTAGTCTCCTTTCCTGAGCAGTTCCATCAGCCTTTGCCGCTCCATCTCCTCCTTCGTCACGTACACTTTGCTCTCCTTAAACCTGGCGTTTCGCACGTTCTCGTAATTGTCGCACAGAACGTTGTGGAAAACGATCGGTCTCTGTTGGCCCGCGGCGTGCTCGATGATTTTGCCGAACGAGTCGCCGAGTCCGGGGCTACGCTCCGCCGTGTCTTTCGGTAAATCCTGCTTGAATTGAAGATTCTTCACCAGCACTTCGTTCACCACCGACCCGTCTATCTCACGCGAGTTGGTCCGTTCCCCTTTCTCGGCCTCCCATTTCTCCGGTTTCTGGCTAGGCTCTTGCCGAAGGTGGGACCCCGCCTCCATTGTCTGCCCGGGCATCTCGTTCGATCGAAAACGCGCGTCCTCGGCCTTGAACTTTGCCGCCTGCCTTTCACTCTCCAGCTCGTCCAGGGGGATAGTGGCGGTCGATAGATTGCTGTTCTCCCGCGTGTGACACGATTGGCCTCTGTCGACGACCAAATTCCCGGAATCCGGATAGGGGATCTCCAGGTCGTCGTCGTCGACGATCGCGATCGGCTCGGTGACCTCCCGTTTCTCCTCCTGCTCGCTGCAACACTCTGACGAGCCAGTCGCGGTCGATCGAGATTGCAGGCTCGTCGTCTTGATGCCCTGAGGGAAGCCGGACGAGCGAAACGTGACGAACGTCCGGGCAGGTTCGTTCTGCTGCTGGTCTCGCTTCGTGCACGTCGCCGCCGCTTCTTTTTTCTTCTCCGCGGAAGGTGGAGCAGATGGAGGAGGAGGAGGAGGAGGACCTCTCGATCTACCGTTCGGCAGGCATTGCTGAATTTTCAGGCACTGACTCAATCCGATCTCCGGGTATCTACAAACGGATGCCTCGCTCTTCTGATCGTCTTCCTCGATAGTCTCCAGGTGTTCGTACCGCAACTCGCCGACCCGTTCGTAAACCTCTGTTTCTTTTTCTTCTTCCTTTTCCTCCTCCTCCCCCTCTTCCTCTTCCTCCTCCTCCTCCCCCTCTTCCTCTTCCTCCTCCTCCTCCTCCTCCTCCTCTTCTTCTTCTTCTTCTTCTTCTTCTTCTTCCTGCTCCTCTTCCTCTGGCTGCTTTTCGTTTCGCTTGTCGAGTATAACCGCTTCTTTGGGTGGCGACTTGAGATCGAATCGACCGCCAGTTCCACCTTCGCCGTAAGCAGAGACCTGCAAAGCAGGTCGCAGAATCGATTGGAGGTCATCCACGTGAATCACCTGAGGCTGCAGGCTACGCTCGTAAATCTTCTCCACGTGATTCGGCGAGGAATAGTGCGATCTGCACGGAGACCTTTCCAATGGTTGAACGCCGTTGTTGCCCGCCGTCGATCTCGACTTTGCCGAGTTTTGCTCGTTCAGCAGCTGCAACGCCGCGTACACGCGACTGTTGTTCGGCTTGAAGGTGGACTGAGTCGGCGAACCGATCGGCGAATTCATGCCGCGGTTGTCATGCTTCGCGGAGTCCTGATCCCTTCTCGGTAGAACCGGTGGCTTTCTAGTTTCCGACGGCGCGATGCCGCCTTGGAGATTCCTCGGAGGTTTCGTGACGCGGGATTCCTGCTGACCTTGAAGACACCGGACACGCGCGCCAACGGCACCGTAAACAGTTTCTTGCCTCGTCTGATCCATTTTGTTGTCTCTCTTGTTGTCTCTCTCGCGAATGTACCTAGATTCGGCCGATTCGCTGGTCGTAATCCTCAGGACATCTCGCGTAGGCCGATCCACGATTCTCGAGAACTCCGCCGCCGATTTACAAGTGGCATCGGCTGGTTTATCATCGGCTCGCGGTGAATCGCTCGTGAGAGCCGGGCGCCTACTTTCTCCGTCCTTATTTGGCGAGATCGGCTCGCCTTGGTCACCAAGGTTGCTCGGGCCCTTCGAGACGACGTTGCTCCCCTCACAGGCCCCTCTCGCTCTCTGGCCTGTCTCTTCCTTAACGAGCGCTCTCGTCGTTGCGCCAGCCGTGCTTTGATCGTGATTCTGAGATCGCTTGAACGACGCTTTCCTGCAGGGGATAACCGACAGTGTGCCGCTGCTCGTCGTCACCACGCTCGTGCCCGTGCCAGTCGTTACGGTGGAAACACCGGTAGCTACGCCGATTACTCCAGATATCCTGCCATGATCCGACTCGTTTCTCGTCTTTGCCAAATTCGTCAGCCTGCTGTCGCCAGCGTTTCTCACGCGACAGTTCCTCTCCGCCTGATGATGCTGCGACGAATCTCCTCCGACTATATCCGCCTGACTCGCCACGTTGCTAGGTTCCAACCGTCTCGATCTGAAGCTGGAGCTCAGAGGTCCCCTCTGGGGAATTCGCGAGCCGGTCGAGGGGCTGATATCTCTCGACCTACCGATCGCGGTGTTCGACGCGCTGAAGCCGTAATCTTGCTGCTTGCCTCTGTTCTTCGAAGCGAGATACTCTTTGTAGGTGCCTCTGCTGGTATTCACGCCGACGTTTACCTTGTCCACCAGCTTGCGTTCCGTCTGCTTCTTGTCCGCGCGGCTGAGGTCGTCGTAGCTCGACGACGTCCCGTTCAACTTCTCCCCTCTTCCTTCGTCTATCGATCTGGACCTCGAGTCTTGGCGGTACCTCCTCTGGCTCTTCTGATCGGCGCTGCTGTTCGACCTGGTCAACGGTTTCTCCCGAGTCGGAGCAGGGAAGTTCTGGCTCTGCGTCTGATTCAGCCACTCGTCCACCCTCTTTTGAACTTCTCCCTTGCGAAGCAACACCTCCGGGACTCTGATCCGGCTGTTGTCGACGGTGACAGCCGCGGCCGGTGAAACGCAAGACGAGGAGGAATTGTCCGGCTCGGTCGGCGACGGTGGCAGAACGTGTCTGACTCCTGATTCCTTCTGCCTCTCGCGGGACCGCTGTCTCACTTGGGTCTGCTGGTTCACTTTCAGAACTGGTTGAGGTTTCTCCCGGCTCGGCGGCGAACACTTGGGCTGCATCCTCGCGGCGGCCGCCAACACCCGCGACTTCTCTTGCTGCTGTTTCTTCTGCTGATCCATCATGACAGCCTCGAAGTTCGACACGCTGATGCTGCCGACGTCGCTCAGGTCCGACGATCTCCTGTAATCGAGATCCTCGTACTCGTCCAAGATGTTGTTTACCGATTGCGTGTCGATCGAGCTGATGCTCTTCGACTTGTTCCTCACTACGCTCTCGTCGCTGCTCGAGTAACCGTGCTGCGAGTAACTCTGCTGTTGCTGTTGCTGTTGCTGTTGCTGTTGCTGCTGCCGGTCGCCGCTCGCCTGTCGTTTCCCTCGATCCCTCTGATGCGTCTGATGCTTCAGCACCGCGTTCTCGTAGCGTTGCAGCGGGTGCTCGAAACCCGTTTCCAGCACCGTCTCGTTTTTGTTCCGCCTCGGTGCCGGCGATTGCTTGATCTGTCTGTGCTGAGCCTGAGACTCCCTCTGGGCAAACGTCGCGGCGCCCTTTTGCAGCATCGAGACGTTGCGATGCTCGCCCTCTTGACCGATCTTCGAATGCTGAACTATCGAGCGGAATGTGGTGAAACTCTGCACGTTCCTCGGACACGGGCTCGGACCGGTCGCTTCTTTCGTCAGCTCCCTCCGCGTGACGTTCGATCGTCTCTCCGCGCGGCGATGCTCGACACCGCTCGATACCGCGCCATCCTCGTCGGCGAACGGAATGTTGCCGCCACCGGTTAGAGTCTTTAATATTATTTCATCGTTCATCTTTCACCGTGGGATCACGTGCTCGCATTTTCGTGAATTCTTCTTCCTGTAACAAGCGTCAGCGTCAAGTCAGCGATAGGTACCGATAATAAAGTATTAAACATTCTTTCCCTCGCTCCGAATCACAGTCTAGTCTGTGTTTTCTTTGCACGTTCTTTCGACTCTTTCTTTCAAGACTTGAAGAGCATCCATGTAGTGTTCTTTGGAAACGACGCTTCAGTTTCACCAGCGGAACAATTAAAAGGACTCGGGTAAGTTCGAATGCGATTGGCTAGCCATTTAGAAGCTCGAGAATTTTCACCAAGTAATCGTCGACGTAAAGAATTTACAAAGTTTTCAACAAGCAGAGATCTCCATCTCCATGACAGTGAATAAAATTGAGGCGACGAGACTAGTCTACAGTCTACTGCTATAAAATTAAAATCTCATTTCGAAATGCTCAGAAATATCGAGCAATACGTACAATGAAAATTCAAAAAAAAGATTAAATTAAGTGGTGTCGAAATTTGAAGCGAAATTCCATCGTGAAGTTCCATCGGAGGGAGTGTTCAAGAGTTGTTCTCTGAAAATTTGATGCCACGACGGTACGCGGACACGCTTCCGCAAAACGGTTCTTCCATCGGCTTCCGGTTAAGCAGCGACCGCACGTTCCACCAATGGCAAAGTATCCGGTAGTTGACCGATATCCGGCCGGAATTAATTCGGTTTTCGGGCCCGGGACGCATTAGATATTGTAATGGCCGGCCACGTGCTCGTGCGTCGAATCGTTAAAGACCATAACGGCCTATTGGAATTCAATGTGCCCGACCGACCGTTTCCACGGTGAATATTGACTAACAAGAAGTGTATTTACGCCCGTCGCGCACATTTATACACGTATATACACGCGCCATCGCGACAGATTAGATTCACCTTGCGAACTCGGAAACGTTTGCGAGAAATTTATGAGCATTCGTTTCGGATCTCGGCGCATGTCCGTCTCGATCAGAAAGCAGAAATTTCCCCGCTGCTGGAATGCTGTACAAATTAATTTCTAATTATCGTCTAATTAACTACGTACGCTCCGATTGGCCAAACTCGTTTCTCCCTAAATTACCGGTTTGTTTAACCAGCGATGGATTTGTGTAAAGCTGGAAGCGTTATCGCCTATCGATCGTCGTTCTACAAATTGACCGGGCAATTACAGACGAGCGAATTCAATGTTTCGTGTGTTTACAACGAGAAGAGACGATATGTCACGACGGAATGTCGCTAAAGTCAGAAAAATTTCAACATCGGAACGTACCGTGGATTATCGCGCGCCACGGCAGAGGTGAGTTTCGATTCACGTGGCGAGGGAATACGATCGCGGGCGTAGCGTAAATTGAATTAAACCGACGGTCCCGTCAAACGTAAGTACGTACGTACGTACGTACGTACGTACGTACTTCTAACCGTTCTAACATTTCCCACACGGCCTCGCCTCAAGGATCTCCCGGTCGGAGTTCTACTTTTAGATCTGTTCGTCGAGATATCGGCCGTGGGCCACCGCGACGCGAGATTCGAGCGAGTAAGAGTGGAGATTCGCCTGTGGCCTCGTTCGTTCTCTCTCTTTCTTTGAAATTGACCCACAATTAAGACGTCGTCGGCCGCTCGTGCTTCTCTCTCTCTCTCTCTCTCTCTCTCTCTCTCTTCTTTTTTTCTTCACTCTCAGGGTCGCTAAACGACCAACAAAAGTATCTCTTCCGAAGACAATGACGTTCGTCGACACAATGCTCGGACCTGGTAAATAAAGGGACGAAAAAACGGAAAAGAGAGGAGAGAGAGAGAGAGAGAGAGAGGAGGTTCCTCAGTAATTATCATCTCGAAAAAGTACATACCAGCGCGGCACTGTGAATGACGGCGTTCCATCGACGTCGACGGAACGCGCCACGGCAAAAACCTATTTTTCAGATGCACTGACCCGGATCTTGAATCCACCTCCAGAACCGTTACCGCGATCGCGTTACCGCCGCTGTCCGTGCGCCCGAGCACTCAGCGATCCCTCTGATATCGTTCGTTGTTAATTATTAACGAAATAGCTCTCTTTCGTCTGGATCGCTCCGGAATCGTGCGCGTCCAATCCGATTGGCCCACTTGCGGTAAATTATTGTACGTTCGAGCGAAATCGAGAAAAAGTGCCGATTCCGGTGCCAAGACGCCGGTGATTAACGGGACAGAGAACTCGAGCGGCTGCGATTTGAAGAGATGATTATCTCGCTGGACAAGTGGAAACGTTCATTTGTCTCTGGAGCATCAGTCTTTTCGAACTTCGTTGGCCAAACAAAAATTTGTCCAGCGCCGTACATAGTTTGTATATTTTTTTTATCGATGTTTAACTATGTTATTTATGAGGATTGATATTATTTTAATATATACTTCGCTGTAAGTATATATTAAAATAATATATACTTACAGTGAAACAGTATACCTACGTTAGGGTTAGGTTTGGGTTAGGTTTAGTTCGATGTATACCTATGTTATTTGTGAGGATTGATATTATTTTAATATATACTTCACTGTAAGTATATATTATTTTAATATACATTAAATATATTATTATTATTATATAATATATTATTTTAATATATACTTACAGTGAAACAGTATACCTATTTAAGAGTTAGGTTTAGGTTAGGTATAGTTCGATGTATACCTATGTTATTTATGAGGATATTAAAACAATATATACTTACAGTGAAACAGTAGAATCGATTGGAAAAGTATATTTATATTAATTGAAAAAGTGTGAAAATTTTTAACGAGAACAATGAGCTTGTTTTTTAAATAACAATAACAATGACGTTTCAGTGAACAAAAGTAAATTTTATTCGGCGTCACTGTCGCTACTGCAATTCAAAACGATCAACCTTTTCTCTTCAATTGGCACAGTTACCCTCATCGTTAATGTGAATTTTTTCGAATGATTTATCTTTTGCCAAGTGTTCACAAATTTGCTGACATATTCGCTGCAACATTTCTTTAAATCTCGTTGAAATTTCAATAATCGTTGAACGTTTGAATCAATGTCTACAGCGTGCCTACTGGTAAATCGCGTAAATCGATATCGCGCATGAATAGTTTAGTTGTAATTTACCGCGTAAAAAAAGTGCCGCGTAAAGTGGAGGGCCAGGCGTAATTAGTTCAAGGAAAGAGAGAAACAAGAAGTCGCAAGTGGATGACATGTGGCCCGGTCAATTCAGGCCCGTCGAATCAGTGTAATTTGGGTCTCAATTGAAGCCTATAACTGAAACTGGACCGGATCTCGATCCGGATCAAAGTCAGCTCGGACTTGACAAGATCGTTGGGCCGTTCGACTGGTTACTATCGAAAGAAAAAAGCTTCCGCCTAAGTAAAAAGCCAAAAAAAAAAAGAAAAAAAGGAAAACTCGAGGATTTCTGGTCGCGGCAACTTTCCTTGGCACACATTCGCATGAATTTCACATCGGCCGAATGTGAAATCAAACTAGACGATCTCTAACAAAGCTTCATCACGCTGGCAACGTACATTTTTATCGCTGTTAAAACCGATATTCGTAAAATGGAAATATCTGTACTGCTCTGCACGTCCAACGAGAAAAATTTGAAAATAATGAATTTTTTTTTACGGTGTAAATTCAAGATTCTATTTTATTCGTAATTTCCGTTCTTGAATATGTAGCTTTCGTAAACAAATGTTCAAGAAAATTTATTAACTTTACTTGGAAAAATTTATTAAAAAAACAATTTTTTTATATATTGTTTGAACAAAATGATATACATTAAATTCATCGTTAAGAAAAACACTAATTTCATCAATTTACACGAAAAAATTTGGTCTTAATCTTCAATAATTTCCGAGATATTTAACAAGATGTGTTCCCTCAACTTTGAGAGTAGTTTTCACGCCTTCAACATCGACGATTGCCGATAAAAAGAAAATAGTACGGGTCAAATATTTTTTTCTTAAAACTACACTCATGCCAAATTTCATCAAAATCGATGATTCACACTCAGGTATGTTCCCTTGTGAGTGTGAAAATTCGATTGGATTTTTAACACGTTCGGGGCGTAGAAAAAGAAAAAAAGAAATTCCTAATTGACCGATTCGATTTCTACGTCGAAATACCACACACGAACGATTCCAGTGTCTCGAGTGGTAATCGTATCGAATGGTTCGTATCGAATCGACGAGGACTCGAAGACGACGAACGAGTGACGAGCACGATTCAGAGGGACCACACACGACTCGATGCCTCGCGTTCTCTTTTGCGTGTGTCCCGATCGCTGGAACGATCGCTCGTGAGCGAATACTAATTACACGCGTGGTCGATGCGTTTTCTTTGCATCCGAAGAGCGGGACGGCCGATCTTTAGACTCGTTGTCGATCCGACTGATGCGACACTCTGCGTTATTATTAAATTAATAAATTTTCGTCAATTTCTCAGCTAATACTTGATTTCATTGTATTTAATTGTATTAATATATTTATATTATATATTATTAATATTAATAATATTTATATTATTTATATATTATATATTATATACTAATATTATTTATATACTATTAATATTAATAACATTAATAATATTTATATTATTATTTATATATTATTTATTATATACTAATATTATTTATATATTATTAATATTAATTTTTATATTATATTTTATATTTTATTATATATTTTTTACTTAAAATATATTTATTATATTTTATTTTATATTTATAATACATATGTAATATTTAAATAGTTTATATATTTATAGAGAGAGAAAGAGAGAGAGAGAGAGAGCATAATATTGAAAATTTATTATATACTAATATTATTTATATATTATTAATATTAATTTTTATATTATATTTTATATTTTATTATGTATTTTTTATTTAAAATATATTTATTATATTTTATTTTATATTTGTAATACATATGTAATATTTAAATAGTTTATATATTTATAGAGAGAGAGAGAGAGAGAGAGAGAGAGAGAGCATAATACTGAAAATTTATTATATACTAATATTATTTATATATTATTAATAT